TCCCTAAACAGCAATACCGTACAGTACAGGACATAGCATACAGTACAGGGGAAATGTAAGTCGAAGCAACAGCCTAATGTGAATTAATGACATCAAATGACGCCGACATAATTTTATTTAATAATTTGTTTTATGTAATAAAAATGAAACAATGTGTAACATGACAGGAAATAAGTTACAGACGAACAAAGCATTTTCTTAATTACAATATATTACGATTATTTTGTCAAATCATGATACAAAATTAAGATCTCAAGTGTGCCAAAAAAGACACTAAAATACATCACAAAACGCTACAAACACCGAAGCGGCTGAGGGCTTCGCTTTCACGCCCCCACTGTGGACCCTTCACTGCCACCGTGCCCCCAGCACCTGGCTCGGGGCCTTCGGCCCCTTCGTTGCACCACTGATCCTTTTGTAGTTCCGCATTTACAATTTTTGCACCCCCACCCCGTGCCAGATGGGAACAAACCTACCCCCCTGAATACTGCCACATTCTTATGCAAATTATGCAGTTTGAAAATTTGTGATGGTACGCAGGTCTTGGGATAGCAAGCCTCATTTAAAACCTCTGGACCCCCTATCGGGGAATTTCTAGCGATGTCGTCTTGGAAAAATAAAATCTTGAGCGCCGAAAGTACTACAGTATTCAAACATAAATTACTAAGCTATCAAATTTTAGGGATTAAAAACTGTTTAGTGCGAGCAAAATTGTATCATTTTTTAATAAAAAAACATCCCAGGCAAATCAAATTTTTCCCGAGGGGGGGTGGGGGGTGTGGAATGGACTTTCCCAACGGGGGTTGGACCCATGTCGGGGAACCTGGACCCCCGTCGGGAAATCCTTGGCGCCTGGTGTTCATCCGCACCTCCTAGCCTACGCCCATGAAACAATTGTCATGTGTGTTCAAGTTTTCCGATTGACACTTTTTTTATTATTCGCAAACATTACATTTTTCATAATGATGTATAAACTTTGCCTTTGGCAAATATATTTCAGTGGCGGATCCAGGGATTTAAAATAAAGAGGGCCCAGGTAGGGACTTTCACAGACGGATGGTGTAGACCAACTCAGCATCACCATGCTTGGGACTGAGATAAGAAAATTCATGATTATGGCACCTAGCTGGCTCGTAATGGAACTTTTAGACCTAAATTTATTTATAATTTTCATTTTTTCTCCATTTTTTTTAATATTGGAAAATTAAGGGGAGCATGGAATGGCCCAGCTCCCCCCACCCCTTAAATCTGTCACTATATTTGTGACATGACTACAGCTACCTGCATGACAGCCTTGTCTTCTGATCATACAGTGAATTTTCTTGATGGGTTTCAAGAGAAACCTACACATTTTAGAGCACTGTTATGCTTTGTTCTGCTTCATACCTAGTTGATCTCTATTTTTATGCCACATCAACGTCTATTCATAATTCACACTTAACAACTGTGATTGTAATACTATGAAAGAAACTCCACTTCCTCCATAAGAAGAGAAAAATGAATCCTTTTCTGATGAATCAAAAACAATTTTGTGGCATGTTTATGTATTAAATTACTTTCTGTTTCTCTTTCTGTTCGTATACTGCACTAAATATCATAATTGAGTAAAACGTGCAGGTGTTGACGTTAGGACACGAAGATTCATCAGGGTTGAAGTCAAAGTTTATATTATTTCTATTCATAGGATTTATAAAACAATTTATGGATAGCACTGGATTACATGTATACCAATGGCAAGAAATACATCTTGACCTGACAGTTAATCTATGAAAGGAATTATTTGAAAATGTTAGAAATGGAGTTTTTTTTTATTCATTGAAAGGCAAGTTATTAATGGATGGGTCAAGTTTGTTATATTCGATGATTGTTCCTTGGGAGGAAAGAGAATAAATAAGTGTCAGTGAGGTTTTTAAGGGTACGGAATTTCTTGAGATAAGCTGCTCGGATCATGCTAGAACAGTGATTTAAGTCTGCAGATGGTATGGAAACAAGTTTATTTATAATTTTATGAAGAAGAATGATTCGGAGCCAGTGGCGTAACAAGGTTGTGTGGGGCCCTGAGAGTACAGTCGGGGTCCTTGATGCAAATTGACTGCATGTCAACTAAGAATTGTACCTTAATGATGAACATTTTATTTGTCAAGTATATTAATATTACTTTTGCCAATTTTTTTAGCTGCATGAGGAGATTGATCGTGTCCTAGAGGGCAGCAAACCAACAATGGCTGATCGAACCCGTCTTCCATACTTTGAAGCAACAACATATGAGGTACAACGTCTTGGTAACATAGCAGGAACATCCCTGCCACATGCTAATGCAGAAGAATTTGTTTTGAAGGGCCACAAGATACCAAAAGGCACCATCATCAACCTGAATCTGAAAAGGATTCACACAGATCCAAAATACTGGCATGATCCAATGACCTTCAACCCTGCAAGATTTTTAGACGAGGATGGCCAAAAAGTTAAAAAACTTAATGTTTTCATGCCATTTGGTATAGGTACGTAGACTTACCCATTTCTACAGTTTCCATCTTAAAAATATCTTCTTTTTTTAAATCTTTCCTGTCACTGATAAACTGGTACTCCCCACTCATCCCTAGGCCAGTTTCAAAATTGACAATAGACATTTTACTTAAGCCCGGATTTTTTTTTTTTAATTTTTTTTTTTACACCTGAAATGCTGCAATGTTTTTGAGCATTTTTAAAAGCCATTATTTACTATGATAGAAAGCCTGGTATTGACATTCTGGCTAAAGTTTAACCATACTTTAAGGATCAGACTGGAACCCTGATGAACAATTTTTGATTTAATAAAACAATTGTAAATCCTGTGGTGGATTTCGTAAGATCTTTTATATGCGACTATCTTGCATGTGAGATAAAGATACTTTTCAGAGGATAAAGTATTGCAATATAAAAGTAAAGCTTGTAAGTCTATTATTATTATTTACTCTTTGTCTTATAGGAAGAAGAGCATGTCTTGGTGAGAGCTTGGCTAAAATGGAGATGTTCCTCTTCATGACTAATTTCTTTCAGAAGTTTAAAGTAACTATTCCTGAAGGTCATCCACAGCCTGATTTTGACCCAGTAGTTGGACTTACAATGAGTCCAAAACAGTTCAAGGTGTGCGCCATTCCTCGTGGATAAACGCTAGACCTGTTGAATATCTCGCATCGTGCACGAGACTCATGCCTCTCTTAAGCGCTTGCACTCAAGGACCAATAGAGGCTAGTAGTAGTAAATCTTTGTCAAGTCACGGGGCCCATGGGCTGGAGCTTATCCTCAGTTTGACGTAGCATGGAGCGGATAAGAGCGTGATGGTCCCCCTGGGTGGGACACTGGTCCACCTCAGGTTACTCCCGGCAATTTGCTGGTACCCATTGATACAGCTGGGTAGACTAAAGCAATGTAGATAAAATGCCTTGCTCAAGGACACTAGTGAAATGCAAGCGAAGGATTGAAACCCCAACCAAGGAACAAAACCTCACAGATAAGTGTAATACTGCCAACTAAAAAAAATAATATAGTACCCCTCTCGCTAAGCATTTCAATTGTCCATTTTGACTTTTAGCTATGATATATTTTTCCTTTTCTGTACAAAACATGTACAATCTTATGGGCCATTAATCTATAACCTAATTATCTTGTGCATTTAATGGGAAGAGCTCAATGTAGTAAATCAGGAATATTTCATAGTGCATCGATACCTCTTGAATCATAAACACTATAAGCAATGCATACAAGTTTAATTACACTGATGAACTAAATGAATTTTACTTGCATTGATATTTTTTGTAACAAATTGGTTTATGTATATTGTAACTCATAGGTCAATTAAATTAAAATTATTAAGACTATTATTTCAAGTTGTGTGATTGATATGCCAAAACTCCTATTGACGGTCCAATCGCACTCTCTTAATTTAATTCCCTAATGGGGTACCCCTATTCAGGGGACACCAATATCAAGGGACATTTTTTTATCATGAAGTTTTCCCCTTATTTTGATTTCAATTGCTTAGAAATATATCTGTCTCTTATACACATCTAGATGTGTATAAGAGACAGTATATATATATATATATATATATTTGCTTTTTTGTTTTTTGCTATACTGTATCTCAAAAACCCCCTGCCAGGGAAAAAAAATGCATACCTTCTAATTAGGATAAAAATAAACTATTTCAGCCTTAAAATCAATGATTTGTTGAATATTTTAATGTCTGGTTTTTAAGAGGATAAAACGCTGTTGGTGGTAGTCACTGATGTGTGCTGAATCGTGGATATCCTAGGTCGGCTTTTAGTCTCCGGCATGATTCTAACTACAGTACATGGTGCTAATTCTGATGCTCCGGGATATATAGATCCGAAAGAGATCAACAGTACAAAATCACTTCTTACATTTGTGCAGCGGTATGTGTTTTATCCTTTAATGTACTGTATTTTGTTACTGTAGTAGCAAAAGCTCCATTTTAATATAGGACAAGAGGATGTACATTAATCAATATCCAAAAAAATAACAAATAAAAATCGAATGAGAATCAAGTGCTTACAATTCTATACTAATTCTGCAAATATAGTTCATAAAAGATCAAGTTCCATAACCTCTGTCCAGTATTTGGCAAGTTCGTTGGATTTTTAAAATGTCAAACAAATATCAAAGATAACAAAGAAGCCCAGTGTATATAAACTCCATAGTGCACAGTGCCGGCGGAACGTTTTTCAAAGTTGGGGGCTCACTAGTAAGATGAATGGGAATATGAATCAGGGGGATCTGGGTTCAAATTTAGGGGGTGGTGTCAAGTTTCCCAAAGACCTTAAAAAGGAAAGGGGGCCAGCAAGGGCGTTGATCCGTGGTTAAAAGTTGGGGAGGGGGACGAAATGAAAAACAAAGCCTTGGGCCGTAGGGCCAAGCCTTGGTTTAGGACCAGGGGGCGAAACACCCGAAAGCTCTCGCGCCTATAGCCTTTTAATTGATTTTAAGCAATGCAATTAACATTTATTTCCATACGAAATTTTCAAAATATCCAGTGGCGGGTCCAGTAATTTGAAACAGAGCTGAGCCCAGAGAGGGACTTTTGCAGATGGAGAGTGTAAACCACATCAGCCCCACCATGGTTGGGGCTGAGGTAAGAAAATTTATGATTATGGCACCTCTAGTTGGTCGAAAATGGCACTCTCAGACTTAATTTGAATATAATTTTCATTTTTCTCCACTTTTAAAAATCGAAAAAAAAAACCTTAGGGATGGTGTGCCCGCTGGGCCCCTTGAATCTGCCACTGAAATACTCATCATAAAAGTTTTTAAAATTATCCTTTTAATCATATTTATGCCCGCTTATATATTTCGTGCAAAAACATTCATAAAAATAATGATTTATTATATCTACTGATTAGCTTGTGACGTATTCAAAATTCGAACCATGAAAAGCAAATAACAAAATTAAAACAGTCATAAATTTAGTCTTTTTGCATGTAGGCCTACAGTACTTTTAAAATCAATTAAGAGGTTTTTGCTTTTCTCCTCATTTTGAATTTCACTTTTGTGTAAGCAATATTGCGACTACACTATATGTGAGTGGAAATAATACCGTCTAATTTACGATCAAACAGGACTAGGGAGATAGGGAGCACACAAAACATTAGTTAGCGTTTTGATTTCACAAACATAAAGGTGATTTACTTAATTTATCATTATCAGTTGCGGCTCCAGGAGGGAAGCAAAATAGAGAGGGAACAGGGAGGACTTGCACAATTTGGGAGAGTAAATCACCTCAGCCCCACCATGGTTGGGTCTGAGTAAAGAAAATTTATGATTATGACACCTCTAGATTGCCGGAAATGGCACTCTCAGACCTAAATTCTAATTCTAATTTTCCTTTTTTCCATTTTTTAAAAATAATTTTGAAAAATTTAGGGTCGGCTCGGCCCCACTTGATTCCGCCACTGATTATTAAGAAGTCATTGCGAGATTGCGTCAACGTACGGTAACACTGGAGTAAAATTTTGGTATCATCACTAAATCAAAATAGATGGACATGTCCGTGTCAAAGGCTGTAAAATTATTATTTAATAATTGCTATATGAAATTCCATTGACTAACTATATATATTTTTTTAAATTAGGAAAACCAGTAATCCTAAATATGTAGATAATATTAAACACATACGTACGGGTATACAAAAGGAATAAATCGTTTACAGTATAAATTGTGCACTTTTGAGTTTGTAAAAATATTGGCCTAATAAGCAACACGCTTCCAATTTTAACAACGTTCAGTACATTGTTTTCACAATGAATTTAGCGTCTGATAACTGCTGCACCCATGAAATCGATCTAGTGGTTTCTGAGATGGTTACGAAATGTATACACAATTGCGTTTTTACTCGGCTTTGGTCCGCAAAATACGTACTGCACTTGGAAAACTGAACAGACAAAATTCATGAGTCATGCGTGATTGGTATTCTTTACATTCGCTTTTAAAAGTGGGGTTTTAATTATAGAAGATTGGTGAAAAGTGGGGGGGGGGGACAATCGATATGATGTCCCCCCTACTTTGAAAAGTGGGGGGGGGGACGTTTCCCCCTGTCCCCCACCGATTCCTAGATTGCGGGAAATGAGCTTTCCTGACTTTTGAGCTAGGTGTCTTTTAATGACTTTCATTTTAAAGATGTATCTGTCCCTTGAAAATGACCAAAATCATAAAAAAATAATTTTTAAATTAACTTGCTCATTTTGCAGTAACACACAAATTATTAACTTGAGCATTGAAATTATTAAATTAAAAAAGTGTGTTCCCAGATTTTTAACTGGATAATTATTATAAGATAATAAAAAACTTCCAGTGACTGGAAGTGTTTTTAAGGGCAGCTTAGCTCAGTCGGCTAATCTGGTGGTAGCCACTGTGTGTGCGCTGAACCGTGGAGATCTCTAGCTTCCCGGTTCAATTCCCATCGCTGCCTCTCCTTGTGTTACAGCTGGAGGGCTGAAATACAAGTTACAATAGCGCACCGTCTTTCGGATGAGACGTTTAAGCCGTTGGTCCCGTGTGCATTGATGGCCCATGTGCACGTTCTTCTTCTTATCGTGTCCAATTCACTAGTAGCTAAATTTTGTTCATCCACAGCTCAACACATCTCTCAGCGTCTTTTAGTACAAGAAAAATACATCTTAGGATTGAAAAAATTGCAACAGAATTTCTGTTTGCACAGTGCATTCTCTTAAGGTCTCTGTATGAACATACTAAAAATCTAGAAAAATCCACATAGGGGAGTGCATTTTTTTTTTCAAAATGGCCGCCAAAAATGGCTAGTTTTAACCAAAAATTTTTTTAAAACTTGATCTTTTCAACATATTTCAGCATATTTTTTTTTCCAAAATATGTTTACAAATCCTAAAATTGTTCTGATGCATACACACTGATGTGGGTATCATTAATTTCAAGATGGCTGCCACAAATACGACGATAGTGTGTATGCATAATACGCCAGGTAGATAGTACCATATGAACGTTTTGGACAAAAGCACTAACTTTTTACATGCTCTTTATGGTCATAGCATTCAAATTTGATAGAACCCATTTTGTCGGAGGTAATTATGGCAGCCATCTTAGATTTAAAAATGGCCACCTTATAAAACCTATGTATCTCTACGGTATTATCTCCTCTTTTAACTTGGAATTATAATTCTAGTGTCTAAATGGTTATGGAATACTAGCATGGCATGGGCGGATTTAGGGGGGAGGGGGCGTCTGCGACGCGCCGCCCCTCAATCGCTCTCTATCGAGGTCAGCAGGTATGTGCTGTCAGACAACCCCATGCACAGTGACCACAGTACACTGATATGTGTGCACATCTCCATTGACGACACCCCTTCAGTAGACTTACTCTTTTAATAAAGTACAGTTTTTGTGTAGACAACATTTGACACTTTTGACGTGTAAGTTTTGCTTCCTTATTGTTTTCAAGTACAGTACCTGATTTAATCAAAATTGTGTAATTTAAAAGATATACTGTATGAAATTGTATAATCTTGTTGTCTCTAATTGACATGAAACAAAGTAGGCCTACCTAAACCTAGGGCCTAGGCCTATTTCCAGTGGCGGATTTGGGCGGATTTTTAAAAAGTATTAAAAAAAAAGATTTTTGACCTGGTAAGATTGTTAATTTAAAGTAATTATAATTTAAGGTCATTAAACGAATAATCTGAGCAGATTGTTCATTTAAGGTAATTCCAGTTCAAATATTGTATAAAATCTTAATAATTACCTGTAATGTTTTACATCTGAATCATACTGAAGCCCTCGAAATTCATTTTTTTACAAGAAACTACATTACTTCATTCAAGGTAATTTTGGCAGCTATCTTTAATTTCAAAATGGCTGCCATGCAGAAACTATTTTATTAATATCTTAACTTTTAGAATCACTTCAAATTATAATTCTGATGTTTAAAACCTTGTTTTTATGGTCAATAAAATATACCATTTGGAACATAGTCAGCCTGGTCATTAGGATAATATAGGTCAGTTAAGGTCATTCAAGTTCATTTTATGTTAAATACCGTACCATATCAGAGGTCGTTATGATGTCCATTTTAGGTCAAGGTGATTTTGCAGCCAAATTAGAGATGGCATAAATACATATGTTTACTTTACATAATCAAATATTGACTTTACCAGTTGTGACATTGTCAGATGATTATTATAGTCATAAATAAGTTAATTAATGTCGTTCAATTACGTTTCAGGCCAAATATTGTATGACATGTTAATAATAATAATAATAATCATAATAATAATAATAATAATTAATAATAATAATAATAAATAATAATAATAGTGTAGTTTCATATAGCGCACATATCCATCTAATGTAAGATGCTCAGGGCGCTTGATGTGTGGACTAGGAACTCGATCAATGACTTTCTTCTCCCCTAAGGGTCCCTTCATGTCTGTGCTACCCGGTAACCCGGTACCAGCAACTCTCGTCGTCCACCACAGGGGCTGTCTGTTCCAGTACACCGGGGTATCCCCCTACTCGTCTCGAAGGATGTACTGGGTTCTTTATAGTGCACACGAGCCATTGTATACACTTGGCCTACGGTTTATAGTCCTTATCCGAGAAGACTTGTTCTACTACCAGAACCATAGGCGAGCGTGCCGTTCGAACCAGCTGCAGCGCCGATATTATGGCTATAGTTTGCGGCGCCCCTGCTAACCGCTCGGCCATTCGACAATAAAAAATATAATCGAATTCTGTGAGCTTAAGTATAATATTTAAATTAAAATATGACTGCTACCAAGAGGATATCACAAAGTATGAAACATAAAATGACCTTAATTGACCATTTATGACCACGATCAGGGGCATCGGAAGCTATTTTTATTGGTCCGGCCAAATAATACATAATCATCATTGCATTGACATGACTTTGTTTCATTAGTTTTGTCTTTGTCTATAGCTCAAAAAACACACTATTCTATCAATCATTCATACTCGTACTAAATATATCATTTAACCATTCATGCTTTATCCTTTATATTTGTCACCATGGAATTTCATATATATTAACGTACATACAAGTAATAGTAGTTAAACATTGCTTTAACAGTAGAAATCAAAAAAGAGTAATCTATCACTTAATACGTACCGTATCTAATCAAAATTACTGATTTTTCCTGGCGTTTGTCCTACCACCCTGACCGGGACTGTTACAGGGCCTGAGTAGAACCCCTGTAACGTACAGTACCTTGTTCTAATATTAACACTCAAAGTTGATTCCCCTGATTCTTTTGCTCTATGGAGTACTTATCACCTTGTAGATCTGTCCATATGATGGGAATACTTACATAATGGTCCTCCTGCCATTAATATACCAAGGTCATCACGTTAAAGAACGCAGTACACTCTTCGGAAAAGAATAGGGGGTCATCTCCCGGTGTACTGCCCAATCACCACCAGAAGGACCCCACTGGAAATAAGTCTTCTTCTAGACTTTTGTGGGATATCCTTGGTGTTTACACCGAATAAATCCAAATCCAAATCCATTTTTTTCGCTGTAAAATGATGGTTTTTATGGGTAAGCATTTTTGAAATGTTGATTTCTAAATGGCGGGAAATAGCTTTCCAGACTTCTGAATTTTAAGTTCTTGAAAATTGAAGGTTTTCCCCTCTTGAAAACGGTCAGGTGAATTTTTCTCATTCTTATTAGGCCTTACGTGTGTATACATACATTTAAAAAATGAGTAGTTGCATGCGTATTCTTTTTCTTCTATAAATCGATCAATTTCCCACCCCCACCACCCCCCCCCCAAAATAAAAGCAAGAAAGAAAAATGGGGTGATCCGGAGATTCCCCAGGAGGATTTTGATTCATAGATGGTGGGAAATGAGCTCTCCCGACTTCTGAGGTCTTTTAATGACTTTTAAGTTTTTCTAAATTCAAGGTTTCTCCACCTCTTGAAAACGATTTCATTAATCGATGAAAGCCAAAGAGAGAGGGGGGTCCCGTTTCCCCCTCCCCCGGGAAAATTTCGATTTTTAGATGGCGGAAAATGAGCTTTCCCGACTTTCGAAATGTCTTTTAATGACTTTAAATTTCTTAAAAACTAAAGGTTTTCCCCTCTATCTTGTGTTTCTAAGATCTTTGACAATTATTCAATCGGTACATATAAGCAGGAGCCCAGGGGTGTCAGCATAGCTGGAAAGTTAACCAATTTTTGTGTATATAGTAATGTTCTATGTGCCTGTCTATGTAGGAGAATGGGCATCTGCCGGTCCCATTGTGGTGGGTGTGGTCAGGAGGGGCATAAAAAGGGCCCCAAAAATTGAGCTAGATCAACTTGTGAATTAACCCAATGAAACCTATCAGAATATATTCGGCATAGTTCAAGATATCACGAATGGACAATGCTAGACATTTCCAATGGTGGGGGGTGGGTGCCAGACGCAAAAACCGGTACCCCCAAATTAAGCTAGATCAGCTTGTGAGTTAATCCGATGAAACCTACTGGAAAATGTTGGGCATAGTACCAGGTATCAGGAATGGTCACCGCCAGACATTTTTAATGGTGGGGTATACCTGCCAGACACCCCAAATACCCCGCCCAAAAAATTGACCTAGATCAGCTTGTGAGTTAACCCGATAAAACCTACTAGAAAATGTTCGACATAGTACCAGGTATCAGAAATGGCCACTGCAAGACATTTTTAATGGTGGCGTGTACCTGCCAGACACCCCCCTTATAGCCCGCCCCCGAAAATTGACCTAGATCAGTTTGTGAGTTAACCCGATAAAACCTACTGGAAAATGTTCGGCATAGTACCAGGTATTATGAGTGGCCACTGCCAGACATATTTAGTGGTGGGGTGTACCCGCCAGACACCCCCTTATACCCTGCCCCCCCCCACCCCTAAAAAATAACATAGATCAGTTTGTGAGTTAACACGATCAATCGCATTGCAAAAAAATGGGCATAGCACCAGGTAGCATAGCACTAGGTATCACGAATCAGGGACGTAGCCAGGATTTTGAAAGGGGGGGGGGGAGCCGTTATGCGAATTACGTATGACCCCGGCGGGGTCAAGAGGGAGAATCCCCCTGTGAAGTAGCGCACTCTAAACGTTCTTAGGACTGTTTGAGAGGATAAAGTGAAAATTGCAATAGACGCATTATAAATAAGCGAAAAAATAATTATATAATAAATGAACAGTGGCAGATCCAGGAATTCGAAAGAGAGGTGAACCATGGAGGGACTTTCACAGACTGAGGAACCATCCACCTCAGCCCCACCAGGTTGGGGCTGAGGTAAGAAAATTTATGATTAGGGCATCTCTAGATGGCCGGAAATTACACTCTCGCACTTCAATTTGAATATATTTTTCCTTTTTTTTCCTTAAAAAAATGAAGGGGGGGGGGGTGCCTTGAATCCACCTCTGCTCAAAACATTCTTTATCCAGAATAGTCATAATCACGAAAAATGGACACGGAAAACCAGATCACATCATAAAAACAGACAGCAGTCACTAAGACATACATCAGGAGCCGACTCGATGGAGTTAAATGCCCATACCCAGGGAAGAGCACAGATCTGTTTTGAAAGGTGGAGGGGGAGGACATTTTGTAAGTCGGCACCCACCCCAGCCCCACAATAGTTGGAGCTGAGGTGAGAAAATTTGAGGAAATAGTACCTCAGA